AAAACAGTCGAGGTTTCCTGGGGCAAATGGCTGTGCCGGTTCATTTGTTTACGGGCGACAAGCTCTGGCTTGTAGAGAGGGCCATATTATTCCCTTGCTGGGGCTCCAGCAGACCTTCCCCTAGGAGTTTCCAAGTCCCCTAGGATCAGGGCTGAACCAGAAGGAACTCCCAGGAGAGTCTACTCTGACCCCTAGGGATCAGGGGGTGGGAGGAGACCTTGCTCACTGGAGTGGGAAGAGAAACCATTTGCTTCTCGGCTGCCTCTTCAGTGTACAGTTTGGGCCTTCAAAGCCAGCCAGGCAGGCTGCCAGGGGCGGGCTTGATCAGTAACTGACAGGATGGTTATTGGAAAGCTCCCATCATTAGCCCAAGAACTTTGTTTGGTTGCTATGGTGACCTTCACCACAAGGGCCTGACTAAAGAGCAAGGAATCTGATACCTAAAACCATCCCTGACAGCGCCCATGGCCTCGGGAAGGACGCTTATCAGTGGCCCTTTCCCCTTGACCTCATTTTTCTGCCCCTCCCTGCTCAGGACTTCCAGCTTTCTCCCCCAGCCCAGATGAAAAGAAAGGGCCAGCAAAGGCATCTAGGGCTCTGCTTGAACTTCTCACATTCCAGACAGGGAGGCTGTGGCCTGGAGGACCCTGCAGGCCTGGGCCGCCTGGCTGGCTGCAATGCCTGGCCAGCACATGTGTCCAGGGCTTATTGGGAAGCCCATGGGATTTCAGGAAGCTGCCCAGGGTGTCTGGTTCCCACTGCATGAGGTTCGTACTGTCCCTGAGGGACCATCCATCTCTGCCTCATCACGTTCCTGCCTTTTTAAACCTGAGCTCCACTAACTAAAGGTCATGCCATAGCATGGACATCAAGAGCTTCTTTGCTTTGCTTTCTAATCCCCGAATGCAGAAGGATTTTCAAAAGTTTGACTTGGGGAAAGCTGGATTTTGCTCTGGGAGTCTCAGATGCTGCCTGTGTGGCACGGTGACCTTATAAAACTTCCCAGAGCTCATGTCCCCTTCCCTGCTCAGGGCCTAGCCTTGCCGGGCCCTTCCTCCTTCCATCTCTGGGATCCCTACCACCCTGGGGTCCCAGATGCCAATGTGACACTGTTTGCGGTCAGCCCCCCTGCCCGGTGCCACCTTGGACACACTATCGATCAGCTGTATGACCTTCCCTGGTCTGAACGAGCCTCAGAGGAAACCACAGGAGCAGGAGCCAAGACAGATACTGTCTTTCCAAGGAGGAGTGGGTTGCTGCAGATGGCACAGGTGACAGACCTCACTATGGCTCTCGCACAGGCATAAGTTCACATGGATGAGGGAACCTGGGTACCAAACAGTGACAGACAAAGCACAAACCCCAACACTAGCCTGTCATGGCCTTCCCTCCCTGGCAGCCTGGGGCACATTGCATGTATGGCCGCCACAGGAAGAAACGCCTCTAGAAGGCCTCTGTCCCCAGACAGCTATCTGCAAGGTACATGGTAGAGGACAGACTTGTACCAGGCCTCTCGGAATTCCCTGAAAACAGACGCTACTGTGGATGAGGAGGTCAGGGCAAAGGGGATTTGGTTTGTGTTGTTTTGCTGAATGGTATTTACTGGACTGGTTCTTTAATTAACTGCCTTGGCAACAGCTGGAGCCACGCACGGCTTGTTCCCAGTGCAGGGAGCAGCTGGAGAGGCAGGATACAGTGTCAGTCGAAGAGCAATGACATTTTTCAGCAATCCTTGACCCATAATGGACTCAATGACATTTCCTGCTAATCTATGGGTTTCTGTACTGGAGAGTTTTATTTTTGGGGAACAGCACTGACTTGTTTTGCAAAGTGACATGGCCATATCCTATGGTCATACAACAGAGCTGTAGGTAGACAGATCCCCCAGCCCCACCACAGCCACATATACATGTGTATATATACATACATATATACATACATATATATATATGTATATATATATATATATGCATATATACTTTTTCCTTTTTTGCCTAAAATGAGAGTTATTTTTTCACAGTCTTGGAGGTCAGAAGTCCCCATGTCATTTCCAATTAGTTTTGTAAGCTTTTAGGGCCAGCTCAGATCAAAACAGAGCTCTGCTGGTCCAGGAGGTTAGGGGCTCACGGTGGCTCAAGATAAAGAACTATTTCTCTACTGATGCCTGTTTGAACAACAGGGGAAAGTGAGGTTCTGTTGGGGTGGGACACTAGTCCCCAAATGCTTTGCAGCATTATCACTACAGAGACAGAGGACAAAAAAAGGTGTGATCTCAGCCTGTAGAGGCCCTTAGGCCCTGCAATTACCTGGGCTGAGATATCTATAAGGGTGAGCTGTTCCCCTGGCAGAGGCTGCCCCCTTAAGGATCTGGCCAGCAAAAGTGGGGACTGCTTTGCGGGCAGCTGTCTGTAAGCCTGGGGGACTAATGGAGGCAGTTAGGCTGCTTGCTCTGCACCTTTCTGGGGCTCAGGCCCTCTGAGAACCTACTAAAAACCATCTTGCCAGACATATGCATGCATGCACCCACCCACAAAATGTTCTCAGTCATGTCTACCCTGGCTCAGGGCTTTCAGACTCATGGAGCAGGGAGTGTCCTGGAGAGGTAGGAGGGAAGTGGAGAGGACATTCAGGAGGCAATGGTGGATTCACATACTGCTGTGATGCAACAGGGGTCTCTAAGCCCAGCCCTGGGCTCTGGAAGATGGAGGTGGTGCAGGCAGATGACACCTCCCTGAAGTGGGTCAGGGAAGCTAAGGGGAATCCAGAGGGCTGGACAGACCCTATTTCCAGCACACCCCAAACAGCCTTTCAATCTAGAACTCAGCAAGTGTCCCCACTGCAGGCCAGTGGAGTAGCCTGTTAGAATAGTCAGCTCAGTTAGGAAGTGACAGAGAACTACAAATGCCAGATGCAGGTACAGAAGAGACCCTTGGCTGGGACCAGGGTACAAGGAGGGGCCAACCATGCAGAGCCAGATTTCCTTTTGATTCTTGTTCTCAGTTTCCACACAGGACGTCAGTTTGAAATATGATGCTGATAAAACACTGCTACAGAGCCTTGCCTTGAACTTTTTCTTTCTTTTTGGTACTGGGGATTGAACTCAGGACTTTGCGCTCATGAGGCAGGCGTGGTGCCACTGAGCGAAATCTCTGGCCCTTGAACCTTATTTTTTCAATGACACACTCAGGCCCCAGGGTAGTTGAGGGGTTGAGAAGCCCCTTCCCTTCCTCAATCAGGATTCAAAGTCTTTTTTTCATGACCACTTACATTTCCACTGAGGCCTAAACAGCAAGAGCAAACACATGCACACACTCCATACACACCCACACCCACACCCGCAAAGGTACATGCACGTACACATAGATATGTGCACAGGATACACATAGCAGCAGTGAGTTAGATCCTGCCAGACAGGTATAAAGATGGAATATGGGGAAAAAAAATCAAGGTACTGGCTCTGGGAGGGAGAACCTTTGCTTTTTGTGCATTTTCATTATAAATAACAAATTAAATAAACTTATCACCTAAGATTGCTGTATTATACTTGAGATTCTTTTTTGTTTGTTTTTTGAGACAGGGTCTCACTATGTAGTTGAGACTGACCTGGAACTCACTATGTAGCCCAGGCTGGTCTCAAACTCACAGCGATCCTCCTGCCTCAGCCTCCTGAGTGCTGGGATTACAGGTGTGTGCCACCATGTCCAGTTTACCAATCTTGATTATGGTAAGGTTATTAATTGTTCATAGTGCCAAGTGTGGTGATGCACACCTGTAATCCCAGCACTCTGGAAGGCTGAGGCAGGAGGATTGCTGTGATTTCAAAGCCATTCTTTTTTTTTTTTTTTTTTTTTTTTTTTTGAGTTGAGATTCTTAAGGCTCAGAATCAGGGACATTCCTCCAACACAAGTGGGCTACGTCTGTCGAAGTGGCCACAATCAGCCTGCTTAGCTGTGAGCAGTCTGCACAGGGCTAAGCCCGGCAGGCTCAGGGCTTCTGATAAGTAGGAATGGTGCCCACTTGGCTTAATTCACTAGAGGCCCTCTCTTCAGTGGGGCACACTGTAGAGTTTAGATGTAGGAACCTCTGCCGTACCCCAGCCACCTTTCTTCAGCCTTGGTAGGAAAAGGCCACCTGTTCTCTAGCACCTGGGCAAATGGCCTGCAGCTTCCTTAAAAGAGGCCCAGGGCCCAGGAAAGCCAAGCCTCACCCCCGTGGTCAACCTGTCTCCTCATGAGGGTGCCTCCAGGGTTTGGATGCTTGCAGCTTTCCTTTGTCACCTGATTGCCCAGTGGGGCAGTCCTGGCCTGGTTCAAAGCTGAAGGTGGAACAGAGTAGGAGTGAGGGTGCCCAGGTCCCCTCATTCTGAGATTCAGTGACACTATGACAGTGTCATCAGCCTGTGAAGGGAGGGAGACAGAAACCCTGTATGGCTCTTATTCCTGGTTGGCAGCAGGACCTCTGTAAGGGTGGCGGCAGGACCACCTAGTCCTACCCCACCCACTGCAGTCTGGACCAAGTGCAATATGAACCTTGCTCCAAGAAGCAGGGCATATGATGGTCCTGGAAACAGGGAGCAGCAGGAACACCCTAGAGGAAGACCCACTGCTAACGACAGTAGGGGAAGCAGATGGCTTGATTGGAGGCAGGGGGTGGCTCCTTCACCTCCCCCAGCCCAGCCAGGGTCAGACTTCATCCTTGGCTGGCTGTGTCAGGGTTGTGATGAAGTTCCCTGCCTCAGTGGCCTTGAGAAGCTCACACTGAGCTTGGGTGAAGCACCTACACAGTGCACACGCACTCCAGTGCATTCTCTTCCGCAACCCCACAGTGAACACAGGCTCAGACTCTCCAGTCCCACACAGAGCACCACAGACACTAGTGGCCCTCTACCCCTTTGTCTCCACCCATGGAGTGGGCACGCAGTGGACACTTTCCCAGTGTCTCCTGGCACCTGTGGTGATGGCCAGCCAGCCCCTACCCGGCACTGTCAACAGGGAACTCACTTGAAGTTCTCAGGGTACTCGGTGATGGCCATGTTGATGACATCCAGGGCATGCTGGTAGTGCTTCTGGGCAGAGAAGAGCAGGGCCAGCAGATGGAGGGCACTGGCATCATCCTTACACACTGCCAGGGCCTCCTGCAGGTGCTTCATAGCACTCGAGATCTGACAGAGGAAACCGCCAGCTTAGAGCTCTTCCCGACTCTAGCGCCAGATGGCAGCCAAGGAGAGGTCCCCCAGGTCCAACTCAAGTGAATCTCTGGCACTGGGATGCAGGGATGGTGCTGTGAGAAAATATATCCCACAAACAGCCTGGCAAGGAGAGACCTTCTGTTCCAGTGGGGACAGAGGGAAGTGGGTTCATGACACAGCACAGAAGATCTGGGTAGACAACAGGAAGCATTTCCTCCATGGGAGGAGTGGAAGCAGTAGGGAGAGGGGGCCTGGCTGCATGCAGACACCCTTCCATGCAGCTTTGCTACCATATCAGCAGAGGCCTGCCCAGAGGAGGTGACAAAACAGGATGCAGAGTCGAGTGCCCAGAAGAAAGGGTCCAGCCACATTCTAGTCCTATTTTTTTTTGTGCGTGTCTCTGCCTCTCTCTGTCTGTCCCTCCCCACTTCCCCCCAAAATTACTAAACCTGGTTCCAAGTCTGGACAGGTAGGAAAAGGCCGGATCAGGCAGGATGGGGAAGCCACAAGTAGAGAGCCTGAGGAGCCACTGCAGCGCCCCTGGGGTAGCTGGAGGAAAGCCTTAGTGCCAGGTGTAGGCAGAGGTACCCTAGCCTCCACCAACTCTGGTTTGCCTGACTTCCTGGGATCCCTGTGACAGAGTACAGGCCTGGCTGCTCTGAGCCTGGAAGGAGCAGGCACAGTGGGGAAGGGCACCTTGTACTGTTACCACCAACTGGGCTGGTGGGACCCCAATACCCTAGCAAATCTATCTGGGCACTGGGGATTTGCAGCTGTGACAGGGTCATGGGGTCAACTCCTGAGCACATCCTACTGGATGAGGCCCACCCCTCTATCACCCTGCCTCACCAGGATGGAGCCCTGTTCCTTGAAAGCCTAGAGGGTAGGGGTGGTACAAGAACTCTACTCCTAAAGAAAGCATTTCTAATTCTTAGCATAACACCTAAAGTCTGAGTCCTAAACCTCCCCCAAAAGCTGCTCTCCTCAATCCCATTTCAATTCTGAACTTCCCCATCCCACCTGCTGCTCAACTAGGGAAGGCAATGCACTCTGAGAGAAACGCTCTCGGTCCCACATGGCCCGGCCTGCACACCCCTGGCAGGATCTGGGGAAAGTTTCCACAAGCATTAAAGAGTAAAAAGAATGCTGGCAGTCACCAACGTAAACACTTCTTCAAAACAGGCTGAGCAATTCCAGTGACTGCAGTGCTCTTTAAGCAGTTTCATGTGACCTGCAAGATGGCCCTGTGCCCCTACACCATCTCCGCCTTCCCTATCAAATGCACACAGAGCCTCTTGATCGGAGATGCCACCTGCCATCTGTCCCCATGGATGTTACTCTTTTGGGTCAGGTAGGGTACTGCAGACACCATAGATTTTTATGAATTCCAAAGGGTTAGGTTCCAGTGGTTCCTGGAGTTCCACCTGCCTGAATTGAGCAGTCTGTGAGCACAGGCTTCACCTTAGAGGGGTTAATGGAGTGAATGTAAACACAAATGAAATGCTTGCTTATCTTCTACTCCTTCTTCTTTCCAAATGTCCCAGAGATGGCAGAGAGGCACAGCACCGTGGAGCTGGTCAGCATCAGAGCCAAGCCCCCACCTGGGGTCCGGGGTCCTCAATCCGGCTGGGCCATGATGGAGAGAAGGGCCTAGACCCAGCCTGACCCAGGTCAAGCCAGCCTCTTCTCATGCTGTGGGTTTAGGGCACTGACCACCATCTCTTCCTCACTGTTAGATTCGTTTCCCAGGACCCATGAGCCTTCTGTCCCCACACACTGCTAACGCTCATTCTCCTTGCCCCCAGCAGGCACGGAGGCCATGACCAGGTATGGATGGAGTGAGGGGAGTGGCCAGGAGGTGGCGGCTCGTCAGTCTGCTAGATACCTGCTCTGGTGGTCCTGGAAGACAGTCTGACCTGTTGGTCCCCCCCGCCCCGCTCTCACTTCAGACGCGAGCAGAGGCAAGAGCTGGTGCTCTGGAGTCAGGTGGGGGCAAGTAGCCCAGATCTGTCATTGCCTAGCTGGCACCTAGTGCAAGGGAAATTTGCCTCTGTGAGCTGTACTTTCTCTGCAGCAAAATGAAAAGAATGAAGAGAATCATCCTACCTACTGCAGAGGCTGAGACACTGAATGAAAATGTTTCTACAGAGTGCTGGCACAGGGTGCTTTGGAAAGGGTGGGTTTCCTTCTGCAAGCCTTCCAAGGTGCTGCTCTGAAGGAACTGGAAAGACCTGAGGCAATGCTCTTTCGTGTATGCCCTCAAGTCTTGAGAGATACTTTAGCTCCAGTTAACTGTCTATAATAGGGCTCTGCCTTCCCTGGAACCTTGTGAGTTTTCCTTTTTTCTTTTTTTTGGTGCTAGGGAGCAGACCCAAGGTTACTCACATGCCAAGCATGTGCTCTCCTACTGAGATAATACACCCAGCCAATTAATTTAAGACTCTTGTCGCTAAGCCAGGTACGGTAGCACTCTGTGAGGCTGAAGCAGGAGGATCACAAACTCAAGGCTTGCTCTTAGAGTCCATTCAGAGGCCCTCAACCTTCTGAGGCTGACAAGACCTGGGGTCCCCAAGGAAACTGGGCACCAGGCTCCAAAAACCTGGAAAACCAGTTATCTCTCTGCAGATGGGCACTATTCATCAGAGATGGGTGAATAATTAAAGAGATTAAAAAATGCATCACCAAAGGTTTATCATTAACTTGACTGGCAAGAAAAGCACTAGGTTCTTTTACAGAGGACTAAAAATAAAGCTGTCTCAGGTATCTTTCCCTCCGTGTTCCTGGGGGCAGAGTGATGCCCTGGTGAGAGGCACAGAGAGGCCCAGTGCCTGGTCTGGGGCAGAGTCAGAAGCGTGGGGGTGGAGGAGGGGCCATGTGAGTCATGGAGAAAGGGTGCAGCCGATGACAGCGGGGTCACGGGGGAGAAAATGGCTGAGACAGAAGGACCTAGAGGGAGACGTGACGTCAGACCAGGTGACACAGGGGCTTGGGTCAAGGGTCAAGGTGTGGGGTGAGAGAGAAAGAGTTCCAGCAGTGAGAGCCACTGCGGCAGTGAGAAGAGTAGCCAGGCCGATGCGGGCTCCTAGGAGGATGATGCAGGGACAGGATGCAGGGTCCCTGCTATCCCCAGCTAGAAGAGAAAGCTCTTGGAGCTTACTGAAGACACAAGTGGGAAGAGGACCCTGGCCCTGCACCCAAATGGGATTGAGGCTCGTTTGGTGGAGGAGCTCAGGGCAGCCTTGGTTCCCTCAGAGACTAAATGAGGCTCTGTGGCCCTCACCAGACAATAAGGCTTTCCCAGCTGGGGCGGAAGACACCCCACTCTATAGCTACAGTGTGCAGAAGAGCAGAGGATGGTCTGAAGGGCTTGGGGAGTCCCTACTGAGCCAGTGTCCTCAGCCTGGGGAAGAAGGCGGATCTGGGGCAGAGTCTTAGGAGGTGGCAGTGATCCTAGCAGGGTGAGGCAGTCAGTACACAGGAAGGCCCTATGAGGCCCCAGAAGCAGAAGCCTGAATGTGGTGTTCAGGGAAAAGCTCTGGAGTCACACTAAGAACCCCCAGAAAGATCTCCATGTGCCAATCATTCTGCTTTTCGAGGATCTCAGGAGAAGGTCAAGGGAGCCAGCACTTGTGCAGACACGGTTGTGGTCATTTCTGAACTTCTCAGGAGACTGCCCTGTTCCAGGGGAGGCAGGGCTGCGTTCACACTCGCTGACTGCACAGACATGCTCACATGACAGGTAAGAAAGTGGAGGCTCAGAGAGGTCAAGTCACTTGCTGATGAGCACACAGCTGGTAAGTGGAGTTGCCAGGAGGAAGTTGGCAGACCCAGGGCCCTGCGGGTTAGGAACTGTGAGAAACCTACCTGTCGAACGAGGGCCAGCTGCAGGGAGACATAGAGGATGATCTGGGGGTCATCAGGCGCCAGTTCCTGGGCTCTGTATGGGGAAGTGACAAGTCAGTTGCCAACAACGGATCAATCAGCATGTGACCCGGGCCTGCTTTGGAGGGGCACCCAGCTGGGAGACGATGGCTGGGAGAGGACTCACAGGCAGCACAAGGCAGGAACAGTGGCTCTGAGGGCTTCACCAGCTGAAGCAGGGCCACCTGGGATGGGAGCCCCAACATGACAACCTAGGGGAAGAGCTAGGGGTGGGGACAGACAGCAAGTGTGTCCATACCACACAAAGCCCCAGCACCTGTCAGCCTGCTACAGCCTGTGCACCAAAGGACAGAGGGTAACGCCTCTTGCAGGTAGAGGGCTGGAGACAGCCTCTCTGGGCAAGAAGCCTTGAGAATAAAGAACAAATGGGGAGATGGGAAAAGACCCCCATTCCCCAGAGCTCCAGGGCCTTAGAATTGGAACCTGCCCCAGATAGGGGGAGTCCCAGACAGGCCCCACATAGCAAAACTGCCACCTCTGTGTTGAGGAGGGAGCAAGGCACACAGGCTCAAAGGGCCAATGTTCAGGTGGGAGGTGGAGACGGCAGGGGGCGGGGATGGGGTACAGTGAATAAAGGCTGATCAATGACAGCCTGAGACCCCAGGCTGCCAGGAAGTCTCTGCTAAGGTCTGTAGGTGACTGGGAGGGGCTGGAAGGAGGCAAACACTATGGATATTGTAGGTGTTTTCCTGGTTTATCTCATGTAGTTATCACAACAGTTGCGGGTTATTATTCCCACTTTAGATCCCTGAGCGTGGCAGCAGCTGTAGCACCAGTTCCTAGTTGACCACCTGGGTCCATAGTGTTGAAGGCCAGAGGCCCAGGGCTGAGGATAGCCTGTCCCTCTGGAGGACCTCTCAGCATTTTAGTTCTCTGGTCTAAAAAATGCAGAGAGACCCCACCACTTCACAGAGGTGAACATGTGAGAGTCACATGAGCTAAGGCATGTGAAATGCCACCTCCGGCTCCCAAAGGCAGGAGGTGCGCCTGCACTGAAGGGGAGTCTCCTTACCTCTCTAGTGTCTGCAGCGCCTTCCGATGTAATTCATCTTGCTTAGACTTCAGGGTGGCTGTGGAAGACAAGATGGAATTCGAGCTGTATCCCCAGTCCTCCTTGCCCCATCCTCGGCACAGGAGCTCTGCCTGGAGAAAACCAAGGGGCCCTGCCTGGAAAACCTCAAAGTCTGGCACTGTTGCCCTCACCTCCTGGTACATTCTATGTTCCCTGCTACTTATACCAAGTTGGCCTACTCAGAGGCTCACGCCCATAAGCACTGTGCAACCAGGAGTCCCACCCAAGGCCCCCTAGCCTATAGAGAAAGGCTCCACCTTCACCTGGCCAGGTGCCTTCCTAGGCTTTACAGTCACCCAGCTACTGCTGACCCTTAACAGCACCCAGCTTTAAATGCAGCAGGGCAGATGTTCTTGGCCTGGGGGGCACACTAAACACCTACGGTCCACTCAGACTGGACTTGGTCCCACCGGAAGGACCAGGTGCTGAGTTGCCAGAGCCCCCCAGCTTAGAAAGCTATAAACACAGCTGCTGCTTGGACAGGGGACAAGGCAAAGAGGCTGCTTTGATTGAAGCTGTCTGTGACAGAGGGACTGGTGCCTCCCGCACTAGCCCATGCAGGGATCATGGATATTTTTAACACTGTGACTGACAGTTCTGAGAAGCAGGAGCTGGTCCTGTGCCAGGCTCCCTTATGTGGCTTCCTCCCCTCCTCAGACAAGTTGGGCTGGAAGAGGCCTCTGAGGCCAGGCAGAGGGACTCCCAGAAGTTGGCACTCTGGGGTGGGGGAGGGGGAAAGGGTCCGTCCTGTTCCAGGTCAGATCAGAGTGGGTAGCCAACATTCCCAACCCTCAGCTGCAAGGACACCATTATGCTTTCTATCTAAATGTCCCCCGAGAGACTCCTGCACTCAGGGGCAGGGTTTTTAGAAAGTAATTGAATCTGGGGGTGCTACACTGACTTTCTGTTAGTAGGTGGGGCCTGACTGGGGGAGGCAAGTCACTGAGGGTGTGACCAGAAATCTCCCTCCCCGGCTGGCCACTTCTCTCTCTGCTTCTCAGCTGCCATGACGTGGACAGCTTTCCTCTGCCCAGCCCTTCCACCAGGGCTTCCTGGCTCAGAGCCAGACAACTATGGACTAAAAATGTGAGCCAAAATAAACCTTTCCTCCTGTAAGTTGCTGGTGTCAGGTATTTTGTCCCAGCAACAGAGAAAGTGATTAAGACAGACAGCAAAATAGGTGCCTGCCTGATTGATTGGGTAGGCTTCAGCTGAGCTAGCAGGGCCAGTGCAAGAAGGAATGGAATCAGCCAAACATAAGTATTTATTAGATATGTGCTGTGTACTCAGCACTACCATATGTGAAGGAGAATTAAAAGACCCCAGAAGATCACAGTGGTGACAAGAATGAAGCCACAGAGGGGTAGAGGGCTCACAGGCACCTATACGGAAGGCACCAGGACAAGCGTGGTGGCGCACGCCTGTAATCCCAACACTTGGGAGGCTGAGGCAGGAAGATCACCATAAGTTCAAGGCCAGTCTAGGCTAAATAGTAAGTTCAAGGCCAGACTGGACTGAAGCTTGTCTCAAAACAAACAAACAAACAAACAAACAAAAACAGGCAGTAGGAGTGCACAGAACACAGCAGCCTGGCTCTGAGGGGCTGGCCAGGCCTAGGATGAAGAAAGACCGACTCCCAGAATAGAGGCGTGATGTTGTATTGCAGCCATCTGAACAAGAGTAGACAGAGCAGGCCAAGAGAGCATGTGTGTATGTGTGGGTGTGTGTACATACAAGTGCATCCATCCCAGAAGCAGACAGCATCTGTGGAAATTGCGGGGTGGCGGGGTGGGGGAGTGGCTAGTGGAACAAGATGCTCTGGAGTCCGGAATCAAACCTCTGTTCTCAGGCGAAGGTCTCTCAGGGCCTGGCACTCACCGTCAGTGGCCTGCAGGCTATAGCTGAGACCCAGGGCCAAGTAGCCCTTGGGGAGGAACTCCCCAGCCTCCTCACCGAGGCCGATCACGATCATGGCAAAGTTTTCCGCCTCTTCCAGCTGCAAAGAGGAAAGGCAGAGGTCACTGGGGATGGCTTTGCTGCCCTCAGCCTCACAGGCAACATACAGCCTGTGACATACCCTCTGGGTAAATGAAGATGAGAACAGAGCTGTCTCACACACAGGCAGCATGACCAGAGGCTGGGCTCATCTGGGCCATTCTACCACTGAGTGGAAGAACCAGCTATTTCCTCTGCCAGAAAGCGACTCCCAGGACCTGTCCCCCAAGAGTGAGTGAGTGGGTATGTGTGTGTCTCGTGCTCAAAGTCACAGGATGCCGTTTCTAGGTCCCCCAAGATCCAGTCCTTCAAAGTCTGCTGCCCTGGGAGCATGTCCTCAAGGGGGACCCATCTGTGTGGCTCTCTTCATGTGGCTCTGCAAGGGACCTGTGTTGGCGCCTGCACTGCTCAGCAGTCAGAGGGGCCAGAGTGAGGACATGGACTTTGCTGCAGAGTGTGCAAGCTGTGACTCGGCTACATCTGGCACTCACTCCCTCACAGAGCAGGCGCTCCAACTTGCAGGGGAAAAAGGCCTGGGGCTTGTTTTTGTCCCAGGAGCAGGGGACTGTTCTAGTTGGAAAAGGACCAACTGGCATGAGTCATGCGTGAACACGTCATCACACACACCCGGGTCCGGCCTCACGGACACCCACAGCAGACAGGCTGGCTGGGATGGCAGGGTACACCACAGCCAGGGGTAAGAGCTGTGCCCATTCTGACCCAAGAGCCTCCAAGAAACGCCCCCTCCCTCCTACCCCACCTGCCTCATGCCCGCTGTGGCAGCATACCCACTTTTGTACAGACCATGAGAACACCAGCTGCCAGAGGAGGCAGGATGCTCCTCCCAACACTGAGGTCCCCCCCAACCCCCAGCAAGAGGCTGGACACATCACATTCAAACCTTCCAGCACCACCAACACAAACGCCCTGTAACCACAGGTATCTCCCAGACAGGGGCTCGTAAAGTCAGTCAAATGGGGGGCAGGATCCAGGCCCATGTAGGGACAGGCTCAGCCCCAGTGAATACAGGCAGCTCCGGGCATCCTGGAGCCTGACCGTTGGCTGTATCAGGGGAGGGTGTACGAGTAGGGTCTACCTCTCTCTGGAGTCTGGACTGAGGCCCTGAGGCAGAGGCCGCTGCTGTGGGGAGTGAGGTGGCTGAAGTGAAGCCTCTGGGGAGAGGGAGAATCTAAAACATGCAAGACTTCAACGTACTACAAGAAGTACCAATACCACAGTAATTTCTTTCTAGTCCCACCCACATAGCTGGCTTCCCCAATGTGGAGACACTGCGGTGACTATAAGGGAAAGAATTGTTATTAATTCTATTGAGACAATAGACAGTACAACAGCACACACTATTCGTAGACATGGGTGCTATGCAAAAGGGGAGAGTGCTGTCTCAGCAAAAACTAAAACTAAGATTACAGAAACTAATATTTTCTGAATAATGAAAAAAAAAACCTAAAACTAAAATCAAAACAAAACACTTTAGGGCTGGGGATTTGGCTCAGTGGTTCTGCCACCTGCCTCTCAAGCACAAGGCCTGAGTTTGATCCCTGGTACCAAAAACAACAACAATAGAAAACACACTTTATATGATATGCACTATTTCCCTTCACCCAAGCAAGTGTCAGAATGTGCAAGTCTGGTGTACCTGACTTTGCTTCCTTTGCTGAGAAGTCCCTCACAGACTGGCTCTCTGCATAGAGGCCAGGCTGTCTGGTAGTAAGGACAGAACACCAGGGCAACACTGCCAGACTTCAAGTTCTGGCACAGCTACTTCCTGTGTGGCCTTGAGCAAGTCACCTCATTTTGCTGTGCTTGGTTCCCTTTTCTGTAAAAAGTTACTGCACTTTGCTGTGCCTCGTTTCTTCTTCTGTAAAATGGGGATACTAAAGGTAACTGGCTGAGATGACCTGAGTGTTCACAGCAGTGCCTGACTGAACATCAAGTACTATTAGCAGTTACTGCATCTGCAGTACTATTATATCTCCATTTACACATCACAATGGCTACACATTTATACACACACATACATACACTGGAAAATGAGGAAATGCCATAAAAGCCTCTAGAACCTAAACAGGGGACAGTACCACCTGGCTTTTGTGTCTTGGTCTGATCTACAGTCACAGAAAAAGGAGTGGCTACACAAGGACATGTTGGTGACTCTGCAACAGTCTGCTCCGCCAGGTTGCTCCAGTTCTCTGACCCCAGCAGAGTCCATCCACCCTGTACCATTCACTCAGCAGCTCCACACCGTTCCAAGACACCCCTTCCATGGGGAATCTTTCCAGCCTGTTCTCAGATGGGCTACCTCAGCTTAGTGCACTAAATGTCTATTCCACAGCAGACTAATGGGTATGGCCCTGTGATCTGACAACACTGCCTCACAGGATGGATCTGAGAGGTCTGTCACCCGCTCTCAGCATCTTCCTCCCACTTTGTATGTCAGGTACCTCAGGTGCCCTGCTGGCTCCACATTTCCTGTCATGGTTTCTAAAGTTAACAATAGCTATGGGCTCTTGAGGAGGGGCTGCTGCTTCTGTGACCAGTTCAGGTCATGGTACTGGCCCTCCTTTCCAGGGTTCCTGTCAACCCTCCTCCTTCCCATAATGCAAAACCTCTCTAATATCTTTCTTGCCCAGGGCAGCCAAGTCACCTTGCTAGAAATCCCAGGGGGAGTCCCCTGCTTCTTCCCTGAGGCTCACCTGGCCTCCAGCTACCTGATGGTACAGGCATTTCACAGCCAGAGATTGGGAGCATAGGTGGCCTATCCAAGGTCACCTGGATGGAAGCATAGAACTGCATTTCCAGGGCAGGTCTCCTGACTCTAAGGCTGTCTGCTTCATGGCTGCCTGCTGTGGCTTCCCATTGTCTCCTCTCTGGCATGTTAGAAAAGGATGCGTCCAAGGGTATACGGTTGTGATGGACTGGTTTTGCTTTGCATAAGTAAGGAAGGACTCTCCATGGTTTACATTTCCTCTCTCTCCAGCTGTCCTACCATGGTCCCTCCAGGGCTGCCTCAGTGAATCAGCCTGCAGTGGGCTGAAGAGCTTCTCCCTGGATTCTTCAACCTCTTCTCTGCCCAAGGACCAAGAAAGTCCACTTATGAGCCAGCAAGGCTCTGTTTCGAGACACCGCCAGTTCCTTCTCACGCCTTCCCACCGAGCTCAGAGACTACTGTTAGCTGCTCTGTGGAAAATCCACCTTTTCTTCCAGGGAAGAGTGGCATGTTCTAACTTCTAGAAGGTGTCACAGGAGAGCCGACATTGTCTTTGCCCTGCGTCATGAACATATAGTTCATCTTCTCACTCTGCCCACTCCTGAATTTAAAAATTGAAGATCAAGGGGCCGGGATCAAGCTCAATGGTGCCACCACCTGCTTCACAAGTGTAAGGTCCTGAATTCAATCCCCAGTACCAAAGACAAAACAAAAGAAAAAAACTATAATAGTACATAAGATCCTAATGTCATAATTGACAATGTGAAATAGGAAGAAAAGGGCTAAAGGTGTAGGGAAAGTGGGAAGGGTGGGGGAAAGGTAATAAGGGAAAAGAAAAAATATAAGAATGAAAAAATGTAAAGGGCTAAAGGTGTAGGGAAAGTGGGAAGGGTGGGGGAAAGGTAATAAGGGAAAAGAAAAAATATAAGAAAATGAAAAAATGGAAATAAAGTGTTTGTAAATGGGGAGGGGAGGAGGGGGTGAAGGGAGAGCAGGGACAAGGGGAAAAAGGAGAACCAAGACCTGTCGTGTAAAGGTACAATGATGAATGTAACTGTACTGTATACCTAGAATGTACCAATAAACTCAACGAAAGAAAAAAAAAAAACACAAAAAACCAAAACCAAAACCAAAACAAAACAACTGAAGGTCAAGACATAAAGGCCTCGCCTGCTATCTCAAAGGTGCTGTACCAGTGATACCGACCACTTCTTGGGTACCTGCCAGGTGCTCAGCAGGGACACTCCTTACCTCTGATGTTCACAGCTACTCTGTCAGTGGAGGTGACGTCCCCGATGGCAGATGAGGAAACAGGTGCAGACAGGGCAAATAATCCCCTCAAAGTCACACAGCTAATGAATGCGTATGTGGGAGTTGAACCCCGTTCTTTCTCCACAGCCTGTGCTCTTTCACAACCCCCACAGCCCCATTGGGGGACATGTGTCTCACAAGCCCATGTTCCATTTCATAGCCCTCTGCCATCTGTGTGCAATACAACATACAACACACCCCATCCTCTATGCCACCTACAGGGCAGTTTCCACTTTTGAAATTGAATGAATTTTAAATAAATCTGTTTGGAGGGATGCTAAAACATGTCTGTACCTATTTACGTATTTTCTCCTGCTCCCAAAATGGGGTCCTAGCAGGATGCTAGGCCATGTCAAACCAAGGCTGCCTGCAAGCCTCTTTGATTTCGGCACTATCGCTGTATCCCCAGCTCAGAGCTTGGGAAGCCCTCCCAACCCAAAGAGCCTCAGCCATGCTCCCCCCAACATTAAACCTGCTTCAGCCACCCCACCATATAGTCAGCAGGTGACCATGCAAGACCTTCTGTTGACCTCACCTGGGGGTCCCGTGGTCTCAGATCCAACCCCAGCCTGGGGTGACCCACAATGGCTCTGGGCACAAGAACAGGATTCAGGGATGGACAGCGGATGCTCCACCCCTGAGCACATGGCCACTAGGCTGGTTCTGCCTGACAAAACTTGTTTTTCAAGTGTCCCAGTTTCAGCCTCCCTTCCTGCTACCCAGGCCAAATGGTCTACCTCCCAGATTTCTGTCCTCAGCTCATTGGGCCTGGCTGGGTGATGGCTGGGCCTGCTGAAGGTTGATGTGTGCCAGAGCCATGAAGGTAGGGGACAGGGAGGGTGTCCAACATCTTTCTGGAGTCACGTCCTGCCTCATGCACTCAGCCTGTCTGCGTACGGTCAGACTCTTTTCCTGCTATGGCCTCCTGCTATGGCCTCCTGGCCTCCTTGGAGAACAGAACGCCCTGGGCTGGGCTACAGGGAGAGAAAACTATCCAGAGGGGAGGGAGACCATGGAACCCAGCGTAGACCTCTCACCTGTTCCCACCCTATGTGCCACCTCCTATGTGTGGGCTTCCCTGGGGGGCCAGTGTGTAAGGTGTGGTGAGTGAAGCAGATGGATCCCCACCTCACTGGGAAGCCAAGGGCCACACAAGGCAGAGCTGCTTGTGAAGAGACTGTGCTCCCAGGTCAGCAGGGTCCCCCACCCCTAGCTCTGGGCAGGTTTTCAAGGAAGACAGAAGACAGTCTTGAATTCACGAAGCAATGAGTCATAACACAGGTGATCAGTGTCCAAGGTGGGTACGAGTGGGGCTTCAGGAGGCGGGAGGGGGTGGTCCAGACCAAGGAGGCTGCAGGCAACCCATCCCCAGTCACCGGCCTGTGTCTGATTTAAATGCTGGTTCCAAGCAGACCAACACTCAACGTACTGCTGAGAGGAGGTTAATCAGCTTGCCCTTCCCTCCGACCCGATGACAAGTCTGCATGTTTAAGCTTCCTTTTGGGCTTTTCTATTTATGTTGTCATTGATTACTTTGCTCCTAACTCATCTGATTTCAATTTGGACTGATTTGATCCTAATTTTATTACCATGTAATCTGAATGCACATAATTACTGTAATTATGCTGCAGAGGGAAACAACTCTTCCATGGTGGGAAGACCTAAATTTAGGGCTTCCTGGCAAGGGTGCGCTGGCTGGGTGGACCCAAAGCTCCCTAGTGCTGGCAGCCTTTGGGAACGCAGATGCCCACCCCTCCCCCTGGGCCCCCAGAGATGAGGGTATTTCAGGTTTCATCTCAATCATGAGTTTGAGGCCTCTCTCAGGAGGCCCAGAAGAAGCAGAGGTCTGAGCTGGGGGGTCTCTTTGTATCTTTCAGCTCCCACCACCCTCTGCTGCACAGGCTCAGCCTGGGGTGCTCCATCTGCCTGCACTCCCACACCACCCACACCCAACCCAAGGCTTGCTCAGAAGGACATCCCACCTCAAGATACCAGCAGCCTTCTCAAAAGTCTCAGGGAGCACAGGTTCCCTGATAATGATGGGGCTTGGGAAAGCAAGCTGTGATGGGAGGGCCTGCCAGCAGCACACCTGTATCTTTCCAACCCTGGGATCCCTGTCAAAAGCTATGCCAACCAGCAGCCTCCCTGACCATCCTGATAAATTACATGCCTTTCTCAAGACCAATTGTGGGTGTAAAACTTAACCACCTTAACACACTGCCTCTTCCAAAGCCTAGAGCCCACTAAAGGATCAGTTTTATTAATTCTCCCCTCTTCTCAGTCTGAGGCTCTCCTCTGAGTAAGGTGCAGGGGGATCCAGGGCTGGCACTTCAAATACAGGGGATCTGAGCACATGGAGAGAAAAGGAAAGGTACTGTTTTCACCCCCTCTTGAGCAAGGGAGTCTTCCTCTCTGAAACAGAGAGATGGTGCAGCTCATGGGGCAGCAGGTAGAAGGATCCAGGAGGGAGATGAGCTGTTTCCTGTACTGGGATAAATCGTTAGAATGTGGACTCTGCAGGGAGCTTATCACTTTCCTTCCTGGGGGGGGGCTAATGATTTGTCCACTGGACACAGAAGAGGAGAGAATGGCAGGGTGTGTTGTTAAGGCTGCTAACTATGAAGCATCTGCTGGAGGCACTTGGAGCCTGGACCCTGCTGCCTTAAACAAGCTGGGTACACAGCAGTGAGGGATGTACTGGGGTATCAGGCCCACAGAAGTCAGGAAGGACAACTCTGAGCCAAGCACTCACTCTAGGAGAGCTCAGGCCCAGAATGTAGATGAAGAAACTGGGGCTATTTGGCTTAAAGGAGAAATGGAGGGAGGAAGCCAAGATATGGGGAGGACAGCCACTTGTTCTGTGTCATCAAGAGGGTAAAAATAGGACCATCCTGACATCAGGAGGCTGACTGGGACTTAAGGAAACTCAAGACTGTCCGGAAGTGAGCTCCTTGTTTGAGTAGCTATCCACACAGAGCACCCCTGGGCTGGAGTTGCAGTCAAGAAGACCTGGCCCAGGGCCCTGGATTCCTGGCTCTGTGCCTCTCACCGCCCCAAGTTACTAATGCCTTGAGGGGGTCTTCGGGTCCCGCAGTAAAGATGAGGTCGGTGGAGCGGATACTGCTCGAGCTGCAGCCTTCCAAAAGCTTAGCTTCCTTAGCAGAGGGCAGGGAATAGGCAGAGGAACCCAGGGCAGGGTTATAGCCAAAAGCAAGGAAGAGAGAGCCAGACATAGTGGTGTGTACCTATAATCCCCACACACTGGGAGGCTGAGGCAGAAGGATCGTAAGTTGAAGCCCAGATTGGGGAATTTAGAAACTTAACAAGATTTTGGTTCAAAATTTTAAAAATGGCTGGGGATGTAGTTCTGAGGAAAGGCCCTGGGTTCAATCCCCAGTATTGCCCCCACCCATCCAAAACCACCAAAAGAGCAAGGAGATGGGTTCACTTCTGCCAAGGGCAAGCTCTGATCCTAGCATCAGCCTGGCCAGCCCTTACATGTTAGATGTAAAGCCACCTAAAATCTCTGAGATAATGTGTCAGTCCAGGCAACTCCAAGGTCTTGCCCACAGTGCACCCCCTGTAATGAGGGCAACTCTACTTTTTCTCCATGTGACACTCTGGAGACCATATTGCAAGGAAGAAACACAGACCTGATACCATCCTGAGTGAGGCGACCTGCTGTGGAGACTGGGGCCAGCGGTTTCTAAGAACCCTTCCCTCAACCACACACACAGCCAGGAGCCTCACCTCCATGCCAAGCCAGTCTCACCCTGGAACCTCATGCCCATCTGCTGCACCCCCCACCCTGCCCAGCCCCACACCACACTCACCCAGTGCAGGGACCCGATGCAGACCTTGGCAGCCATCAGGGGCACGGTAGGGTCCGAGGGCCGCAGCTTCATGCATTCCCGCAGTAGCGACACAGCGTAGGATGACTGCAGAAGCAATAGCAGGGTCACTGGCTGCTGGGTCTCCACAACTGGGGGCCTTGTGCCCAGGGCAGGGGAGGTTCCCTAACAACCAGTCCCTGCTCTGTGTGCCTTTCCTCCCAAGCATCAGGAACCGGCCCCAGCGGAGGAGTTCAGGGTGTGTGGGCAGGCGGGTCCCTCCCTGGGCTTCAGTTTCCTCACCTGGAGAATGGATGCTGCGACCTTGCCACAGCTGGGGAGAGGGCACTGATTAAGCTCCAAACTCCCAACAGTTTAGCTGTCTTAGTGGAGGGCAGGGAGGACCTGACAGCACAACAGCTAAGGTGACAACAGATGGAAGCGTTCCAAAAGGAATGCAAATGTGAGTCATTTCAGAGGTCAAAGGGGCTCTCTAAATGTGCATTGGGAGACAGGAGAGTGGGACCTGGAGGGTACACAAAGGCTGGCAGAGATGTGGGGGGGGTCAAGCTAGCAGGGCCTGAGACAATGTCCAGGCAGGACTGTAGGGTCCCTTAGGGATCCAGGGACTTGGCCAAGTGAAGGGAGGTCGGTGGGGAGAGCATGTGGGTGCAGGCTGGGATGATACCCACACCAACAGGAATGGCAACGTTCTAAGGCAAGATGTAGGCCAAGTCTGACCCTGTACCTATTTGCGTAAATAAAGTTTTACTGGAACTCAGTCAATGCCTATTCACTATGTATCATCTGTGGCTGTTTGCAGGACACAAAAGCAGCGAAAGAACTGTGATGGACTGGCCTGCAAAGTAAAAAAGGTCTATTGTCTTACCCTTTACAGAAAATCTGCTGACTCCTGTTCTAATTGTTTTATAAACACAAAGTGTGAATTTTCACAGGTAAGGACTATACTCCTACTTTATAGTAAGCAAAGCAAAATGCAGAGAAGAAACTTTTTTTTTTGTACCGGGGATTGAACTCGGGTCCTTGCGCTTGCAAGGCAGGCCACTGAACCACTGAGCTAAATCCCCAGCCCCTAAGAAACTTGTTTTAAAGCCACACAGCCAGCCTGTAAGTGGCTAAGCTGAGGTTTGCACATGGCTGACTCCTAAGATTTTAACCTTTTATGGCCTCTGTGGTGCCTATCTTGGGCAGAGAGGAGGACAGTTTCCCTGCTGTGCACACACACACGGCTAGAACCTTCTGACCGATTCCAACATTTTCCAGGGCACTCGGTTGTTACTCTCCATACATGTGAGGACCCAAGGTAGGTAGGTGTATGTTTGTAACTATTACTGCTATAGGCCATGCCCCCATTACTTAGGGTGCCACCAAGGAAAGGGGGCTCTAGGAGCTTCACCTGCACCCAGCAGGGTGTGAATGGCTGACAAACGCATAACTGAGACCCAGCTGGACTGTGTTCACCCCAAAACCCGCCTCTCCAAAACACCCCAAAAGAAGAGCTTTTGCAACCTAGCTGCCGTAGGTTTCCCTGAGCTCCGGCGTGATGCTTATTATGGTTTAGATCAAAAATGTCCCCCAAAAGTCTCACACTTTTGGGGACTAGTCAGAAGAGGTGGGTCACTGGGGGCATGACTTAGAAGGGTGTATTCTTGTCCCTGGCTCCTCTGTGCACTTGCTGGTCACTGTGACATAAGTTAGCAGCTTTCCTCACCAGGCCCTTCCCCCTGCCATTTCTGCCTTGAAGCCAGCCTATTATACATGGACTGAACCCTCTGAAATTGTGAGCCAAAATAAACTTCTCCTTTAAGTTGTGGGTGTGAGATTTTGCCCTAGAGACAGGAAAGCTCACCAATACTCAGTATTGCTTGATCACGGTTTGAGCATGTTTACAGGGTTCATATGCTAGAGCCTTGGTCTCCAAGTGGCAGCACTGAGGTGGTGGACCCTTTAAAAGGTGGGACCTAATACGAGTTGGTCAGGTTATTGGAACACTGCCTCAGAAGCGATGGATGTAATTCTTGTGGGACCCTTGTTAGTTCTTGCAAGTGGGCTGCTATAAGAAGAGCAAGGCAAGACCTTATCTCTGGCTTCCCATCCCACTGTGATTTCTCCCACCAGCACACTCTCCTGCCAGGATGACATCTGCTTTGAGGTCCCTCTATAGCAGAATTAATGCTACCTCAAGTCCTTGAACAACAATACTGCAAGCTAAATAAACCTCTTTTCCTTATCAGCCTCAGGTATTTTACTATAGTAACTGAAAAAGGACTAATATACTTCAGACTTATGAGGTCAACTGCAGTTCTGGGTTAGTGGTTGTGACATCACTGTGGAAAGGGGAATAAAGCCATAGATCCTTCCCCTAAGAGATCACAGAAAGGCAGGGAGCAGAAGACAAATGCCATTCCATTCCCTACTACTCTCTCACAAGACAAAAGGGTAATAGGCTGAGCACAAGAAGGTACCAGCAAGTGCCTGACTGTAACAGACTGGAAGACAAGCACAGGGTGCCCAGTGCAGGCTGCAGTGAAGAGGGCTGTCTAGAGACCCTTTCCTGGGAATGCCATTCCCAGCCCTCACCAAGGCCCTCCCTATACACACCCTGGAAACCTCAAGCAGCTTCAGCCTCCTTGGACAGCCGACCTTGGGATCCTTGAAATCTAGGATTCTCTCACCGTGACCCTCTTCATTCCACCCCACCCTTCCCACCCCACCCCCATGCAGACCAGAAAACACTGCTATTTAAGGAGCCATCTGAGGACTCAGCAGACGCAGCAGCCGTTTTTTTTTTCCTCTTGTCATGCTGGTTGCCTAGCAACATAGCCAATGCACTTGCTGCACAGAGACCAAGAGAAGGAAATGACCTAAATCACGCCATGGAACTCATTGGTTCTTCCTGCAGGATGAAAGGCCAGGTGTATCTGTATCTGCCCAGCCTTACCTTCTGGTAGGCACAGAACCTGAATTCCCACTTTGGGCTCCTGGCAAAGTCAAGCTCTGGCCATTTTTCTGAGAGCTGCCTGGGCACAAGCTAACTAACTTGGCATGCAGGACTCCTGGGGTTGGGGGTGTGGAGAGTGGTTTCCAGAATATCTCCTGCTGCGCCAAGTGCACAGGTAGTGGAGCCCAGTGCCTCCAGCCCTGAGGAGCCTCACACAGGAAGAAGTTAGTGGACCCAACTAGCTGCCTGTAAACTAGTTCCTTACCCTGCTGGCTTATGAAGAAGCCGGAATAGGCAGCCACTTCCCTGGGTACTTGGAGGGTGCTAGGCTGTCTCTAGACCTCTCTGGGCCAAGCTGCTTCTCTGTAAGAGGTGGAAGAGCCTTTCTCTCCCAGACAACCATAACATCTTTTCCTGAGCCTGGAGGCCTCCAGAAGCACCCTTAAAAATTATAGCTAATTTTCACGTGCAGTGTACTTTTATGAGGAAGGGTCTCCAGCTATCTTCAGCTCCTCCAAGAGTCCAGGACCCACAGAAGGCTGTAAACCACTGCCCTGGCCCCAGGTCTCTCCTGGTTCATGGTATTAGATGAAAGATGCCTTCTGTTTGCTGGAGGCAGGAAGATGCCCCACTGCTATGAACTGTGCACCAGGCTCTACGTAAGCTCCACACCCACCATCCTCCTCGCCTATCCCTATCACTCCCCAGCCCAGCTCATCTATCCAGCTCCTCCACCTCTGCTCAGGCAGCCCCGCTGCCTAGTGTGCTGCTCCCTGTACTGGCCTCTACCCATCCACATCCCACGGAGCCTCCTAATCTCAGAGTGCTTGGGCCTCTCCTGTCAGTATTCTGAATTCTTCCTAATCCTTGACAAGACCCACCTGAGCACACAGCCAACAGATCATGCTGACTCTGAGGCGCTCTGATGGTGGCCCGTATGATGGGCGGAGGACAGGAGAGACAAATGCCCAGCAGAAAGGGATGGGAAGTCTCCTCCGATCCTCAGTGGTGTCCCCTGCCTCTCCCTGCATATCAGGCCCTGGCCAGCCCCACTGCAGAGGCCCAGAGCAGGCTGGCAACATTCCACTCATGGAGGCGGCACTGGCACACTGTGAGGGCCCTCCTCAGAGATGGCTGTGGGGCCAGAAATGGAACAGGGCACAGATGGGCTGGGGGCGAGGGATTCCCTCAGCCCCATGAAAGGGCTCTGGGTATTTACAGCTCTTGGAGCCATCTGCAAGCTCCTGCCACCTTATTTCCTGTGTTTGGAGCATCCTCGGCCCCAACGCCCTCAGCACTCAGCTCTGGAAAGGTTTTCCTTTCATGTCACTGTTTAAAATAGAGGCTTATGTAAGCATAGTCTGATCTGAGGGAAAATCAGGGGTGCTGTCACAGGGGCTGGATGAATGGAAAGTGAATGCTGCCCCTGGCTCTGGGCAGCCCACCCTCCAGCCGTGGCTTCAAACCTTGGCCACATCCACCCGGCAGGTCTTCCTCCACACTCTCCTGTGAGTCCTGCTGCTATACTCCCCGATTCCCTTCTCCTCAAGGCAAGTGTCTAATTCACAGGTAGGCACTTTCTTGTTGCTGCACTTGGGGACAGAGAAGCCCCCAACACACCCCATGCATGCAGCAGTACCATAAGTTCACAACAGAAGCACCTGTATGCAACACACTCAGAGAAAGGCATCTAGACTCAAACCCACACCCAGGCAAACTTGTAACACACACGTGTATGAGAGAGTCATATAGGGTGTTCCTTTCATGTCTCTAGTCCTCTGCACCCACTCTCCTGGACAGAAGTTTTGGATTACCCTCTGCCCTCTGCCTGCTCAGGAAGGGAGGAGAAGGCGGAATCTCAGCACCATGGGTCTTACCTTCCCACAAGCCACCATGGAGAGGGCCACTTGGTACCAAAGGTGAAATTCTCCAAACGCAAACTTCATGGCTCGTTCCAGGCACTGGGGGGGCAGAGACAGTCAGTATCTTCTCTCCGCCCAGCCATCTTATCCCCTTCCAGGTAACCGCTATCCAAGTTACTGTCCTCAGGAGGCAGAGGAGGTCTGCACTTGGTTCCTGTGGATACCCAGGGGTAACCCAGTCCCTACGACTGGCACGCTGGGTGACCCTGTGAAATGTCTCCCCATCTAGTCCTTGGTTCCCACTTCCATGACATGGATGACTTCATGGGGCAAGAGTAAAGAGCAAATGAAATAAGATTTGTGAAAGTGCTTTCAAAATATATACATCCAGTAAAAACAATAGCTAACATTTATTATTCCCATCCATGACAGGGTCACAGCCTTGAGACAGGGTCACCAGTTACTCCCACTTCACTGACGAGGAAGCTGAGCTTGGTAGGACTTGCCAAGGTCACAGGGCCAGGAAAAGGCCAAACACCAAAGTGACAAGTGAGGAAGGGACAAATGATAGTTCCTGTTGAATACCTTTACTCCTCACCTGACCCTGGGCCATACCTCGGAGAGCATGACGTACTGGCCCCTTCTGCCCAGTGTGATGCTCAGGAGGTCATAGATGGCCGCAGCATTCCGCAAGCTGACACTCCGGTCTTCCTCCTGCTCTGGTGCCCGGCTCAGCACCACGTCCCGAGTTGCCTGTAGGTAGAACATGGTTTGATAAAGAGTGGGGACAGAAGAGAAGCAGGTGCCCGTCACTGAAGGACCCCACCTATCATCTTGCACTGCTGCCCCAGGTCAGGCAGGTGGCCGTACTCCCAGAAACAGGTCTTCCAAAGACAGAAGCCTAGCACCCTTGGCCTAGGCGGGCAAGGGAATATCTTGAGTGCTCGACATGCTGGAATCCAATTTGCGATTTGGCAAAATTTCAAAGCTACAGAAACACTGTAAGAATATTGCTACAACTGTACACCTTTCATGGAGATGTGTCAACTGTTGACATTTAACATCTTTGCTTTGCTTCTACTGTATAGTAATAATTACTTTTATTCTTTGTAGCAGTTTAGTTTTTCCCGCTCCAAGATGCAATTGGGATCATGCCTGCACGTGGGGGGCCGTGTCCTCCTTGGTCTCCTTTCATGTGGAACAAGCCCTCAGCCTCTCTTTCATGCCACTGGCCTTGGTGAGGAGTACAGGCCAGCTGTTTTCTGGAATGTTACTCGTGTCAGCAGTCCCCCACAATCACAGCAAGAGTGTCAGTATAGGGAGTCACGGGGCTGGCGGCTCCACTGCTCACTCACGGGAAGGGAGTGCGACTCTCGCTCTCCAGTCTCACCTGCTGCCCCTTCCCATCAGCGGAGTCTGGCCCTGACCTATACTTGGCTCCTGACCATGCAATCGTCTCTCTCCACAGCAAGTTTCCCCAACTCAAGGACTTGGTTCCTGGCGTCCAGCACTGTGTACTTCAGCACCTCCTGGAGTCACCAGATGGCTGCTCAGGAGGGGAGGAGAGGGGTGTATTTGTGATGAGTCGCAAGTCTGGGCAATGCAGAGGGAGCTCCTATCGTCGGGCCTGAACACTCCCCAGGGACGGGATCCCTCCTCTTCTGTGGTCTGTGGCATGTGTTGCACCTCCTGCCCACCCCACACTCCAAAGGCAGAAGAGACTGAGGGCAGAGGGGGCTAGGAGACAGGGCATAGAGGGAATATGTGGACAGCTGCCCCAGCTGTGGGGGACAAAGCCCAGACTGTGGAAGCTCTGGGGTCTGAAATGGGCCCCCATACTCTGAGGGCTGCATCTGGGCTGACGTAGAGCTGAGATCTGGCCAGAGGCTCCCAGCATAGGAGCTCTCTCTCCCCTCTTACCTCTGTCCAGCATTGCTCTCCCTCTGTGACCCTCATCTGCTTTGCCACACGTATCTTCCAAACTAAGGACCCAACTTCCTGACAGCAAATGAGCGGCTGGACCTGAGAGCCAGGCTTCCCTGTCAGAGCCACAGGATCCTCCAGCCACCCATGGGTCTCACAGCCTCATCCTGCAGTGCTGCCCTCCCTTCTCCAGTTGGGTTGGGGAGACAGAAAGCCCACAGCCTATAGACTGTAAGTGGAACTAGGGGTGCAGAGCTAAAGTGTGTCCCCCTAGGGGCCTCTGGAAGCCAACAAGTCTCCCAGCTCCAAGGAGGTAACTCACTCCTGGGTCCATTTCAGGCAGGGAAGAAGCTGGAGGCTGCTCAGACAGCTCCCCTCCAGCTACACAGGGGAGGGTTGCCCACCCACTCATGGACACAGGTGAGCTAAGACAGATGCCTAGCAGAAGGTCCTGGGGATGCAGGGAAGCTCCAGGAAGGCAGAGCACTGGGGCCAGCCTGGTAGACAGGAGCTCCAAAGGGTGAAGGGAGAGAGGGTAGCGAGGAAACCACCCACACATGTAGGATAAGGAAAGAGAAAAATTCGGAGGAGAGCTTGATCGGCTGTTTCCCTGAGCCAAGCAGGAACACAGCCCATGCTCCGTCCCCAGGAGTGAACCTCCCCACTTCTCCACCTCCAGCAACCTAGGCTCTGGACACCCAGGGAGGGCCCATGGAGCAGTTGAGGATGGTGAACATGGGAAACAGGGACCGGCACTCAAGGAGACCCAGGGAGGGAGCTAAAGGATGCCTATTTGCAGGCAACCTGACCTAGAATTTCAGTGGCAGAAGTCAGGACGGAAGGGCAGAGCCAGGTGGTCTACAAGGTCCAGCTTTTAATGGGGCAGGGTTGGGAACGCTGGGTGGGATCTGCTCCTGTGCTATCAGCTGTGTCTAGTGGACAGACAGTAAGTAGTAAATTGTCACCACTGCCTTAGGGGTAAAGTTTCACTTCTTTCCATGACTGCTCACCTGTTAGGCTCCTATCTGCTGCTCCCTATTGCCACCAAGGCCTGAAATTTAGTCACGCTGGGTTCAATGTCAGCCTGGACATCTTCTCATCAGCACACACCCAGGCCCTCTATATCCAAGACTGCTTCATCCACTCTTGTAACATGGCCCCATCATCTGTAGATCCCAAAACCCTACCACACCCTATTGCTGAGAACTTTACTAATCCATCTTTGTAGAGTAAGTGACACCCCAGAGAGGAAGACCAGGCCAGTGTGGAAACCCCTCTTCACCTCCATCCACCCTAGACCTGGGCCTTAAGAGGACAGGCCTCTAGAGGTGCTTTGGGGGAGAGGGAGGGGTAGATTTTCAGAGCTGGGATTTAATTAGGTCAGAAGAATGGGAATGGAAGACAGGACTGCAGGTGCAAATCCTCCTCCTGGTGACCAGCCCCCAACAGACAGACAGCAAGGAAGGTCCCTGCTTGTTCTTGAGGGTCCTCAGTTCTTATGCAAAGCAGCACCTGTGTCAACTGGGACCCCCCCACCCCCAGCCAGAAGCAGGGTTGTACACAGAGGTTATTATGGCTTTGGGGCAAGACCTCCTTGAAACACTTGAGGTGGTTGCTAGGCATTGCCTGTGTAACCATGGTAGCAGGGTAGGACAGGACAGAGTAGGGCAGAAAGAAGTCCTGGGGACTGGTGGTTGAGCCGCACAGGAGCAGGAATTAGTATGCTGCTCAGGGGCCAGAGCAGGCTTCAGAGCGAGGGTCTCAGACATTGAGGGGCTCCTACTCCTCAGCATATCCAGGCAGGCCTCTCCCTCTCTCCCCTTACTGCTCCCAGGCCACACGGCATCCCCAGGCTCCCAGCACAGCAGCTTCTGGGCTCAGCCACACACTTTCTCTTCCACCTTTACAGGGTTCTCAGACTCCTGCTTTCACTAGGAAAGCCTCCAGATCAACTGCAGTAATGTGTGAATGCACCTGGCACCTCAAGGTAATATGCTGCTAATGAACAGCCTCCTCATTTTCCTCCTCCTTCACAGGCTACTCACAGAATACCCTCCCTGGTTTTCTCCCTGCCTCTCCTGCCTAGCATTTTACTGCCATGACCTCCATGCCCAACCTCAAGCTCTCTCCCTCTAGGGACCCATTTACATTTTTTTGTACCAGGAATCAAACTCAGGACCTGGCGCTTGTGAGTCAGGCAGCTGCACCACTGAGCTAAATCCCCGGCCCTCTAAGGATCCATTTAACCCCAGGCAGGACTGAGGTCACTTTCCGCACTCCCAGCCTTTGTCCCTCTGGCATTCTGCAGGGACATTCTGCAACCTCTCCTAGGCTAAAGAGCTTTCACTGTCAAGCTTCTGTGGTTCAGAGGAGAAGCCAAGAAACAATATTCCCCCACACCTCGTCACCCAACAGCTCAGTACTGCCAGCAATGTGACCGGCATTGTAAAATGGGAACTTTAGAAGTTAGGTTATTCTTTTCCCCTTTAGAGACAAGTGGCATTCCTGGGCATGGCCACAACTCCCTCCTCTTAGCTGAAATGATAAGCAGGTGCTGGCTCCCAGAGGTTGGTGTTAAGAGCGATGACAGTCTGGGATGCCGACTGTCTCACTGTGTTCCCCTTTCCCACGTTCCTTGATATGAAAGACCTTTCTACACCTGGACAGGGTAAGATGGTGATCTGAGGCAAATGAGGCTCCTCTATCTCCTCAGAGCTAGCTTGGAATAAAGCACCTTTCCCTTTCACCAAAACAATGGCCTCCTTTGATTTGGTCAGTGGTGAACAAAAGATCCTAAGAGGCTAGCAGCAGCAGGGCCCACTCTGCTCTATGGACAAGTACCCATGAGGCACACCCGGGAATCTGTACCTCCCCGCCAGGCGGGGCTGCTGAAAGCCAAGGCAGGTGTGCGCTGTGCAGCTTCCTTCTGGGAACTGAGTTCTCTCATGCCCATCATCCTATCCCACTCAAGCAGACCCCTGGATGAGGACACTGAGCCCCAGAAGGTGGACAGGGTCCCAGAGAGCCGAGGCTGAGCTGACAGCCAGCACCCCACCTGTTGCTCGCCTGGGCTCCAGCTGCCTCCTGGGGCCTTGCCCCACCCCTCCCAACTTGGCAAGACACAAGTCTAGTCCCCACCCTCTGCTGGCTGCAGGGCTCAGATGGCGACGATCTTCACCTCTGCCCAGGCCTGTTGTTACTCTTATCCAACCCTGGACTAGCAGGGCTACACCCCAAAAGGAGGAAAGGGGGCACTTTCTAAGTGGCATCACGTCATTCTCATAATCTGGTGTTCTGTCATCCCATTTTGAAGATGGGAAGACTGAGCAAGGCACAGGTATGTAAGGCTGACCCATGAACACAGAAAGAGGGTTGAGGCCCAAATTTGAACTGAAGCATTTTGACATCAACCTGACTTCTTGCTTCTCTCCAAGTAGCTCTGGGAAGTGTTCAATAGCCTCACCCTCACCATCAGAAGCCCGGCGTTAGCTCTTCTTAACAAACAACCAAAGCAAAACCCAGGCAAGGCTTCCCTAACCAGTCCTTGGGTGCTGCTTCTCTGCAAAGAACATGCTCCTCAGGCAATGCATCCAAGGCCCTGTTCAGCCCTGTCTCAGAGACAGCCTCTCCCTCTGCCAGGCAGTGAGCCTCTAGGCCTGCTGCCTACAACCCAATAATCAGCCCGGAAAGAAGCCTCCCACAGCATCTGTGCCCAGAGCCTCCCTCCCCGGAAGATGACGCTGTTATGTTCTGCTCCTACGGTTGGCCCCCACTGGCACACATAATTGCCAATGGCTCTGGAGCTGAGTCCACAGAGCCAAGAAATCACA